CCCCTGTAGCAGTGCATGGTGCACACACTGTCGTTCTGTCCTGTTCCCTTTCTCACCTCCTCTTAACACATCTGTATGCGTGCTCATCTGGACCTATTTAGCAATAGCTTTATAGATCTCTTTGTGGGCTTGTGTAGATCCCTTCCAACCAAACTGTTTTATACGTACCCCACCTGAATATATCATACACATACCAAAAAAACCCCAACCAAACATATATATATAAATTTTTTGTCCCTTGTATGCACACATAATACTTAGCAGGAAGTAAATCATAGAAAGAGGAAATGCGACCAATGCTTCCAGCTCTCCACCTTGCTGCAGGGCTGCCCCATCTCTGGAGGTGCCCCTGGTCGTGGATGGGGCCCTGAGCAGCCTGAGCCAATGGCAGGGGTTGGAGTTGGGTGGTCTGTAAGGTCCCTCCTAACTCAGCCGTTCTGTGGTTTGTGCACACTGAGCATCATCTCATCCCCAGGAGCAAGTGCCTCTTATGCTGAAAACGCACCCTGGTTTCGTTTTCAGCCCATCTCTTTCTCAGCCCATCTCATTTTCTTACTTTTCAGCCTAATAACCCAGTTGTTCTATGGTTTTAGGGAAGTGAAAACCCTTTGAACACATTTCCACCTTGCTCTTCCCCAAATCTCACAGCGTTCACTCCGAAGGTTCAGTGCAATTTTCAGCACTAAATGCCCTCTCCTGGGATACTGAAAGCCTTGCATGGCTCTGCATGGGCTGAGCCAGCACTGTGGGCCACAGCGAAGGCTCAGCGCTGCAGTGTGGTGTGTTTGCTTTCCTAAGCTGTTATCCTGATGTTATTTAATCCTAAATGTTATTAAATTTGCTGCTGCTGGGTGTTGGACGCTCTGGCTTGTGCGCGGTGCAGTGTGCCCAGAGGCGTTGCAAAGTTGGAGTTTCTCTTGCCATGGGTTGGATGGTGCTTTGGTTTTCTGCACATTTGCTGAGATTTTTGGCTCAGGGGCGGCTCCAGGGCATTGTTTTGGGGATGGTGGCCAAGGGCAGAGACCAAAAGGATGAAAATGCCGTTCTGTGCCAAAAGAAGCCAGTTAGGAGCAATCTCTGGAACATCATTGGGAAATGATCTGAAAGAAAAAAAAAAAAATGCTTTTAGGGCATTGAAATGAAACGTGTAATGTGAGGGAGAGGGTAGCAGAGTGCCCTGCTTTGAGTTTGCAGGAGGGGGCTGAAGATGTGGGGGAGATCCTGGGGGTTTGGGGGCAATCATGTGAGAACAGTCCTCACCTTCAGCTTTATTTTATCCAAGCTCCTATGCCTGTATTATTATTATTTTTAATTCCCCTGAAGCTGTTACTATTTAAATGCAGATTTTTAGCTTTTCCACCCGGGAGACGGAGCGGGAAATTCTTTCCACTGCGTTGGTGCAGGAGGGAACAAAACGCTCCTTTCAGTCGCTCGCATCCTCCCTCCCAGCCAGGGCCGTGCGCTCCCCCTCCCACTGCCCAGGGACCCTATGGGGCCACCAGGGAAGGGGACGGGGCCACTCCAGGCCAAGGAGCCCCATTTTACCCCAGACGCAAGACACAGGGCCCCCTGTGTTATAGGGCAGCTGCCCTTTGAAGGATGCTCGTGCCATGCAGTGTTTGGGGGATGAGCCATTCCCATGAGCAAAGGAAGGGGATTTGGGGATGAGATGAGCAGGATTGTCCTTATTCCTCACCCCTGGGCTGTGGGACCAATGCTGCAGGGTGAGCTTTGGGGTGAGTGTTAGGATTCCTGATTATAGAACAGATAGGGTGAGCATGCCCAGGGCTTGGCTCATGGGCTCAGGAAAGGGGGACAGGGACAGCATCCTGGGCAGGTTGGGCTGCGAGCAGAGCTCAGGCAAAGTGAGGATGAGCTCGCTGACTGAACTTTGCTTGCACCCCAAAATTATGTTGTTTTGTTTGAGTTACATGAGTAGGTTTGCAACCCCAGAGATTTTCTGCCCCCTCTCTATACACCAACCTTTGGCTTGGTCACTGGGGCAGCCCCAACCTGCCTATGTTCTGCATGCATGGCTGCATTATTTTTTTTTTAATGTACGGGACTTTTTGGGGGGTAAATCCATCAACTCAGCTCAGCAGTGCCCAAATCTACCCTGAGGTCACTCTGTCACAAGTAGTGACACAACAGTATTCTCCCATAGAGGTTCAATTAGGTGCACCGTGGAGATGGGGACCCAGGGATGGGGGCTCGGAAGTGAGGCTGCTTCCAATAACAACGTGTTCTGCACCTGAAGGATCCCAGAGCAGCTCTGCTTTGTGTCACAAACAGGGCTGCTGTCCCAGCTGGGGCTATTTTAGGGTTTTTCTTACTCTTTTCACCACTTTTTCCTGCCTGTTGGCAAGGTTTGGGAATCAGATGCGTTGCTTGTTTTACCCATCCATTTCCCCTTCCCTGCATAAGGAAAAATAAATAAAAGGAAGAAAAAAAAAAAAAAAAAAAGCAAAAAGGAGTTTACAACATAGAAATATGGCTGAAAGGATGTTTGTTGGAGCCAGATTGGTGACCCCATTGCCTGTGTGGGGCTGCATGGTTCCCCATGGGAAGCTCCCCATCCCTCCCTGCTTGGCAGCAGTTGTGCTTCCCATGAGGAAAATCAGATCTTATCCTGAAATGCTGGGGATTTGGTGTTTTAGCATTCACCACACAAGGTGCTCGTGGCTGGGGATCTGAGCATGCCCTTTGAAGAGTTCCATAATGCAACTCCAGCAGCACCCTGCCATGTCTGAGTGCTGTGCTTTGACCCGGAACGCAGGGCAGGGTGTCCCCCAGGTTGGGTGGCTCCTATGTGTCTGTGCCCAGCTGTCACATGGAGGGAGGTGGGAAGGAGTGTCTCTTTCAGAGGTGTGCTCAGCTCTCAGCGTGCTCAGATCAGCTTTTTCTGGGTGATGGTGATGCAGTCAGTGGGCTGTTGGCTTCCTCCTGGCCTCACGTTGCCCATTTTCATGTTGGCATCTGCAGAGCCCATGCAAAGTCCCCACTCTGCAAACAGCTTTGGGGCTGCTTTATGCAAACGATGCATGGGAGGAGTGCAGGCAGCAATCTGGGATGGGAGCTGGGAGCTGCCTGGCCCCCAGGTCTCTCACCCTGCACCCTTACAGCATACCAGGGATGAGAAAAAGGCAGCAGGGCTCTCTATGCCCTTGTTTGGGTGGCAGGGCTGGGGGAGGAAGCTGGTGGTGGGGAGGAAGCTGGGTGCAGAAGGGAGAAGAGCAGCTTCCTCTTGATATGTTGCTGAGTGGTTGAGCTGCTGAGGTCACTCCAGCAATAGTTTTCTTTTTGCTGTGAAAATAACAACAGGCATGTCACACAGCGCATGCTCCTCATGGCAGCATGCTTCAGACCATCGTTATTTGGGAGGGATTTGAGTTGGTAAAACCCCATAGCAAGCATTTCTGCCACCAGTTTGCAGGGAAGATGCACAAAGGCTTCTTGCTTTCACTGTTTTGCTCAGCAAAAGTTGTTTGGTTTGTTTTTTTTTTTTTACTGTGTTTGTCTGTGTGTTGTGTGTTGGTTTTTTTTTCTTCTCATTTTTCTGCATGAAAATAGACCATGGAAACCAGCTGAGCTGTTTCACTCAGGCAGGTTGTACCCTCGTTGAGCCTCAGTGATGAGCCTACTGATCATAGAATCATAGAATGTTTTAGATTGAAAGAAACCTTACAAATCATCCAGTCCCAACCCCCTGCCATGGGCTGGGTGCCCCCCATCAGCTCAGGATCCCAAGATCCCATCCCACCCGGCCTTGAACACCTCCAGAGACGGGGTACCCACAGCTGCAGGGAGCCTGATCCAGTGCCTCTCTGTTGATGTCCCTATTGATATGAGATAGGACTGATCCCTACTGACAGCATGTAGCTATTGGGGTATTATAAGCACTGCTTTGAGGCTGGGGTTGGTTGGGTGCAGGTGCTGTGAATCCACCTGATGGACCAGCTTGGACCAGCCCAACATTCACTTTGGGTTTCCTTCCTAGGGAGCTGGAGGCTGTAAAACACAGCTGAGTGATAGGAAACATAATATGGGCCCTGGTGGGGCTGTAGTGAGTCTCTGGCAGTGCATCTTATGAAGTGCTTGGACTTCCAGTCCCAGATTTGGAGACAGCATCTCCTGTAGGCACTGAGCCTTTTGTAGGTTGGGTGTTTTTAGGCAAGCTGAGTGCAGGAATAAACGCTTATGGTCCCCGTTTGCAGCAGAGAAGTGACATTTCCCTGGCATGGGAGCACCCACTGCTGTTTGTGTGATGTCAGACTTGAGAGTTTGATCACCAGCTTTCTTCATGCAGGGATGTGTGCAAAAGAAGCTGTGCTTTGGGGTACTTGGTGGAGTTTTGGGATGCTCAATGGAATGCTGGGGTGTAAGGCAAGGGATTTCTGCTCCGCTCCCAAATCACTGATTAATCTTATTCTTTTTTCTCCCCATGTCTTCCTTTCTTTTCTGCTTGTTGGGCTGCGGGTGGAATCCCACAGAGCTCCCTGCAGAAGAAGGTGAGTCAAGTGTAGCAAGACAGGATGGGAGAGGCTGGGATGCAGGAAGGGGAATGTTTGGGATCCTTTATTTTAATCCTGGTTTTAATCCCAGAGCCAGTGGGGCTGGCAGCAGAGCCCTCCTTTGACAGAAGGGGTACCAAGTGGGAGCAGAAATACAGAGATGTGGACAGGAGCAGCCCTGCTGCAGCAGGGGACAGTCCCATCAGTGCTGGTGGCCACAGTTACCTGCTCACTGCAGCCCTTGGAGCACTGACAGTGCTTGGGTTTGTGTTTTCCTACCAGGAAAGTCCCTCTGGGAGCTGGTGCTGGAGCAGTTTGAGGATCTCCTGGTCCGCATCCTTCTGATGGCAGCATTCCTCTCCTTTGTAAGTACTGCGGGCTCAGGGCTGGCGCAGCCCCGTTGGGACTCAGGGGAGGAGGAGATGTGGACCTGTATCTGTGAGATGCGATCCTGAGACCTGTATCCTGAGAGAGGTGGTGTGTGAAGGGAGCATCAGATTTCCATCAGCACTGCTGAAATGGGCCTTGGTTGTTTTGTTCTGGGGGGAGTAATAGCAAAGGGGAAGGAGGAATGTGGGTTGGATGAAGGAGATGTACCAGCAGTGCAGTGATTGCACAGGGCTTAGTGACAACGCTGCACGTACCTTGGAGATGAGACCGTAGGATTTCTCAGCAATGCTGATCCATCCATCCAAAAGCCATATCCCACCACCCTCTGACTACACCGGAGATGGAGGCCCAAGGGCACTGGTTCTATCAGCTGATCCCCAGCGTTGCTGTTCAAAGTGAATGCCAACAGCATGAATTAAATTAGAAACCCTACAGTCATCTGCATGGCTTGAAGCTTTGCCACTGCCAAATTCTCCTGCCGCAGTTCAGTGATAGCTTGGCAGCCTTGATTCCTTTCATTCAAGTCATCCATGCTGAAAAATTCATGTCAAGCTGTTGCAGAAGGCACAGCTGGGTGGTTCTTTTCGGTTTGTGGGCACGGTGGTGATGTGTTGATGGATGGACCAGATGACCTTCGTGGTCTTTTCTGACCTTAATGATTCTGTGATTCTTTCTGGGCAATAGTCTGTCCTCCCCCATGCATCCAGCTTGTGATTTTCTACATCACCTATAGCTCTACTAAATTAGGGGACACTAATTCTCACTAATTTATTTTCAATACTATTTATTGCCCAGTGTGTGTCCTTGTGCTTCTCCATGCATGAAGGCTGAAACATTTAGGGGAAATTGCTTCCCTTTGTGACTTTTCCTTGGCAGTTTTGGAAAGTACTGATGGCACCCCAAGGATGGCTTTCCTGCTTGGAGTAACTAACATCTCCTTCTGAAGCCCTTCCACTGCTGCATGGAGGCATTTGCATTTTGGATTAGACATGAAAATCCAATCTGTTGTTCCATGTATTTTTTCTTTTGTTCTTCCTCTGGCCTGGCAGTGTTTTGGCTGCTTGCGTGGGCGCTGCCTCTCGCCTACTGTTCACATCCTTCCCATCCTGCTGGCACACACTGCAGGCATTGGGCATCCCAGTGTATTGGGCAAGGGTTCTGTGTATGGCAAGCACAATGCATGGGTCTGGCTTTACTTTTAATCACAGTTGATGTGTTGGGAATGGCACTGGAAGGGGCTCCTGGTAGGGTCTAGCTGGTGCTATTGCCATCTCCAAGCATTTCCTTTTCTGCAGCTTGTTTCAACATGAGGGAGATACTCCAAACAGGAGCCAGGATGCACATCACCAGGCTCCTTGAGCCCCTGGTACCGGTGATCCTTTCCATGCTCAGTAATACAGGGAGGCAACATGGGATCAGATGAACTCAGCGTTTCTGTGTTTAGCAAAGCCACCGCGTAACAGCAGCATGAGCTCACTTCACCCTTGGTGTCTTGGAAATGCTCAGCAACAGCAGCATCTTGCTGGCCAGATGCTGGTATGGTCCTTATTTGCTGATGTGGTCCTTATTTGCACTGCCTGAACATTGCACCCCATGCTTACTGAGCTGAAATGGGCAGTGGTTCCCACTGGAGTTTTTGGGGATGAGTTTGCACTATTTCCTTTGCAGTGAAATCAGTGCCTGGAAACTCTCTCCAAAGATGGCCTTTGGCTTGGCTTTGCCCACAGCTTACCTTGGGAGTTGCTCTGCTAGGATATATTTCCCACCAAGCTGGAGAAATACTTATTTTTTGAGTGCTGCTGTTCAGGGCATTTGGCAGCAGGGTGGTGAATCTGTGTCTCATGTCTTCTCCTTTCAGCTGCCTTATTTACCAGCTGACCAATTTCATTTTAGTAATTTTTATTTATTTATTTCTATTTCGTTCAAAAATAGGCATTTCCTCTGAATTTCCCAGGAAAAGCAGACCGTGTTGCTGTCTCTGCTGGAGGAAGGGCAGGAATGCTCACCCTCTCCTTAGCATGCATGTTGAGGAGAACCAGAAAAACAAGAGCTTTTTTTAGCTGAATATAAGACGATTTTTCAGTTATTAAACAGAGAACACTGGCAGTGAAACACCAGGATTAATGAGGCAGTTAGGGACATAGGGAGGCTTCCAAAATCCCAAGGTTCATAGTGGTGATTTTGGAGTGGCACCTCCTAACTGGTTCGGGAGCACCACCATTTCCCATGGGCTGATCATCCCAGGGGCTGTACCTGAGCCTGCAGTTTGGGCAGCACTGGTGTTGGCTGCATGAGCCATCTCCTGCTGCAACAAGTTGTGCAACGTTTATTTCAGGATCCCATCGCATATAGACACAACATTATGGATAAAGGTTTTAGCACCTGCATCGTAAATCCTACCAGTCTGAGAGCGTTGGGTGGCTGAACAACCACAGGATAAGTGAACAGCTAGGATAAGGATGGAGGTTGGACCCCTGCAAGATAAAATGCGTTCCCAAAATAACACGCAGTGATGTGTTGGCTGGTGAGATGTTGTCATCTGCTTGATGGGAGAGCAACACAAAGCCCTGTGTCAAAGGTTCTGTGTGCTGGTGCTCACTGCAGCGGAGCAGCCAGGTGTTGTATTGACACAACACGAGTCCACAGCCAGTTAAATGGAGTGACAATGTTTTTGTGCAAGCTTTGTTTGCCTTATGGTGTTGGGCCTTAATGGGATGGAGAGTGGGGCTCGAGGTTGGAAGGAGCTGCAGGGTCCTGTATTGGTTATCTTTTCTTCAGAGTCTTGAAATGTTGAAGCTTGTTCTTTCAATTGTAATGTGCTCCTTCTCTTCTCTTGCCCCCAGATCCTGGCCTGGTTCGAAGAAGGAGAGGAGAGCACGACAGCCTTCGTGGAGCCCATTGTCATCATCATGATCCTGATTGCCAACGCCGTGGTGGGTGTGTGGCAGGTAAGGGACAGTCCCTGAAGGTCTCTGCTCTGTGTGGTTGGAACTTTGCTTGAAGGTCTGGTGGCTTCTGGCCTTTGGAAGCTCATTTCTAAAGGGTTCAGCTCAGTGTTGGCTGTACTGCTCTGTGCAGATAAAATCATAGAATCATTAAGGTTGAAAAAGACCTCTAAGATCATCCAATCCAACCACCAACCCCCCCCATGATGCACACTAGCCATGTCCCTCAGTGCCGCACCTCCAGGGACGATGACTACACCACCTCCCTGGGCAGCCTGTTCCAATGCATCACTACTCATTCTGAGAAGGAATTATTCCTAATATCCAACCTGAACCTCCCCTGGCACGACTCAAAATCATTAACTCTTGGTGGCCTCCAGGTTCATTTCTTCGATATCGCTTTGACAGCTTTTGTAGTTATGAGTCCCAGCACTTGTTCGCCATCCCCAGTGTGCACTGCTTACCTTCTGGCCACGCTCCAAAGATCCATGAGGTTTCCAGGCCCTGTTGTGACTCATTGCAGCAGAGATCATCTCAGAGCAAACAGGAGCGGCTGGGGATGAGGCAGAACTGGCCCCAGCAAATGGGTGCTAAAGCTAGGGATGGGATTTGGGTGCACCCATGACTTGGACAGCCCCACTGCCTCAGCTCTGCTCCTCCACCTGCAGGAGAGGAATGCCGAGAGTGCCATCGAGGCCCTGAAGGAGTATGAGCCCGAAATGGGGAAGGTGATCCGTGCCGACCGCAGCGGGGTGCAGCGGATTCGTGCCCGCGACATCGTCCCTGGGGACATCGTGGAGGTGGCAGGTAGGGCATGGGATGGGAAGGAGCCGAGGAGTGGGATGGGGATGTTGGCATGAGGATGGCAGCCTCGTGGCTCCTGGTTGTGGTAGGGTGAGAGTGTGTCCTTGAGAGGTGGGGTTTCCAGAGGAAGAGGCTTCCTTCCACGTTTCTCACTGAGCTCATGTTCTGGATTTTGACATCGCAGGCCCCCTCTGGCTCTTCTCTTTGGGTTTGCGCTGCATTTCAGATGCCTCTGCATTTCCTACCTGCCTCACCGTTATAGGGAAACAATGCATTCTGCTTATCCTGTGTTGTTTGTGTGTTAAACTGTGCTGTAAACCCCCAGAGCCCCTATGCTAATCCTCTCCTTTCCTCCTCATGGCCCTGCTAGTGGAAACAAGCTGCAATCCCTCCCACACTGAGCCAGCATGCTGTTATTTATGTCTTCCAGTTGTACTTCAGCTGGAAGATGCACATTAAAATAGTGCATGGAGGCTGAGATGGAGGATCTCCCGCACCGGCCCCAGGTCTGTCCTGGTCCTGGGATCTGCAAGAGCTTTTAGGGACAGGAGACAGACCTGCGACATGCAGGGGCTGGCTGCAGATGGCTCTCATAAGCCCTCCCAGGCACAATTCCTTCCTGTTCACCATCCCATGAGGGAAACGCTATTGCAATGCCAAAACACCATGGGGTCCAGCACCACTTGCCAACTTGCCCCAAAACAAGTGCTTACCATCACCCAGTAAATACTACTTTTTAATGGCACAGCCAGTGTCATAACTGGAAGGGAAAGAGATGAGCTGTTTTCTGGAGGAGATTGCAGATTAGTAGCAAATAAATTAGAAAATGTTGGGTTTGGGTAGATTAGAGCAAGGAGCAAGGAACCTGTCAGACTGTGAGGAAGTCGGAAAGTGTGATGGGAACATTGGCAGGAGAAATATTGCCTCTTGGCTCATGAGAGGGCAGGTGGGGAATACACCAGGAGCAGTGGCTTTGAACAAGCAGTGTACATCTACATCCAGGTGACATCCCAGAGATGGCAGTGCTAGTGCAAGCAGAAAGGAGCAACTTCTCTTTGTGTGTGCAAATGCAACATATTTGGCAGCACGGATCAGAAAATCTGCTATTCTATTGCAGACAGCAACGTGCTTTCAGGGGAAGAGGTAAAATGTCACCTGTTCAGCTGCAGACACCCCCAAACTTCCTTCTGTACAGGATTTGCAGCACTGCATGTCCCATAACACACTGAACGGGTTGCTGTGGGATATCTGTCCTGCCGTGTAATCATGCTATCTACCCTTGAGCAGATGCTACCCCCATAGCACAAGGGCTCTGGGTCTCCATAGATGCTGTCAGCAGATTGTGAGCCTGCAGGCTCCACTCATGTTTTGCAAACCCTGTCTGCCTTTCCCATGGGGGAGGAAGAGCAATTTACTCCTTTAGAGCAGATCCAGCTCCCTCGGGTGGCTGCAAAGCCTGTGCAGGAGGAAGTTTGGGGGTGTCCGCAGGTCCCCGCATTTATCATCCAAAAGCAACAGCTGGATTACACAGCTGTGCAGTGGAGCAGTGCCAGGGCAGCCCGGCCCCGAGCTCGGGAGGATTTTACGAGCCTCGGGAGGAAGCGCTCCTTAAAATCTGGGATAGGAGACGTTTGGTCGCAGCCAAGCCGGAGCATTGCGCAATGTGATGTGAATTGTTACGAGTGAAGGCTGTGCTGATCTCAATATTTCCGAAAGCCGTTGTGTTCGGGCGATAAGGGAGCATGAGGAAGAGCCATGATGTGCCAAGAATCTGCGAGGAAGAAACCCAGCCGGAAAGCAGTTTTCAACAGGTTTTGTTGTGTTTTTTTCTTCTTTTTTTTTTTTAACATGCGCCCTGGTGGGCGGCAAACAGTGGCTGTCAGTTGGCCAGGATGCTTCCACCCATGATTGCTGGACTGGGTAACCCAGGAACGACTGTTTGTTCTGGCTGTGAAAGGTCCTGGAATGATGTTGTTGAGCGTTTTGGGGCTTCACCACTCCCCTTCCCCAGCCCCTGGTTGAGCTGCTCTGCTCTTCTCCTTGCAGTTGGTGACAAGGTACCAGCAGACATCCGCATCATTGAAATCCGCTCCACCACGCTGCGGGTTGACCAGTCCATCCTCACAGGTGTGTGCAGGTGGGGCAAATGCTGAAGGTAGATACGCCCTCTGTCCGCTGCCAGAAGTGAAATCTGGGGCTGGCGCTGGGCTGAGCATTTTGCTGGGGTGAGAAATGGGTGGAGGAATGAGATGTAGGGCTCATCATTTTCAGTACATCATGCAAAGCTCTGCTAAATGCCAAGTGTGGGGCACTCCCACGCAATGTCCGTGGTCTCATGAAGGTTTTCCAGTCCCACCATGCAGCCACATGACCACTGTTGGTCGAGCTGCTGGAGTTCAAGTAGTGTCTGGACAACACACTCGGGCATAAAGTTTGGGTTTTGTGTGGTCCTGTGTGGAGCCAGGGGTCGGACTCAATGATCCTTGTGGTTCCCTTCCAACTTGGGATGTTCTGTGATATTCTATGATCTTCCTGCTCTTGCCTTGACAGGGGAGTCCATGTCGGTGATCAAACATGCTGACCCCATCCCTGACCCCCGTGCTGTCAACCAGGATAAGAAGAACATGCTTTTCTCTGTAAGTCCCCACCTTTCTTGTGGTTTTGCAGACAACAGGCAAAGAGACCAATGAGACCTCCGAACATGGGAGGTCTATGGGCAGGGAACAGTATCAGCTGCATGCTGATCCTAGTTATGTAAAAAGGGTCTCAGATCCATAAAAACAGAGGGTTGCTTCCATGAAATTTTGTTTGGCATGTGTTGCTCTTTGACCCTGGGCAATCTCAGTTGGTTTTGTATCTCATAGGGCGAGTTACTAATGAGGAAAAGGCTTGTGATTGAACCTGGGTCTGTTGTGGGTTTGAATTTCCTCTTTGCTCGTGCCCCTTGGACAGAAGTCAAACCTGAGAGGGATGAGAGCACTTTCAAGTGTTCAACCTGCTGCTTTGTGGTGGGTTTCTGTCAAGTCCAAAACAGCCCTGAACACAAAACAGCCCTTTGTGAAGACAAAACTGTCCTCTCATCATAGAGTGGAAGAGGAGCAGGTTGCCTGAGTGCTTGGGGGTTCCTGAAGAATCAGAGCACTTGGAGTGCTCTCATTCAACATAGATCATCTCAGCTGGGCTGAGAGGGCTCCTTATGGCTGTAGGAATTTGGGCCCGGGGATGAAGTTCACTCTCCTCTAACCAAGTCAGGGACTGTGCATGAGTATAGAATGAGCAAAGTCTCACCCAGATTTTACCAGATGAAGAACCCGGGAGGCCCAATGCCTCATTTTCTTCTTAAGATGATCTTAAGATCTAATATTCCCCTTTCGTGAGAAACAGCCCATTTCCTCACTCAGACCGGGGGGTTTCATGCCCATATACTCACTGCCCCCTTCCATCTCTCCCAGGGCACCAACATTGCAGCTGGGAAGGCCGTGGGAATCGTCATTGCAACAGGGGTGTACACAGAGATCGGGAAGATCCGAAACCAGATGGTGGAGACAGAGCCTGAGAAAACCCCCTTGCAGCAGAAGCTGGATGAGTTCAGCCAGCAGCTCTCCAAAGTGATCTTCCTGGTGTGCATCGCCGTCTGGGTCATCAACATCAGCCACTTCAGTGACCCTGTGCATGGTGGCTCCTGGTTTCGAGGTGCCATCTACTATTTCAAGACATCGGTGGCCCTGGCAGTGGCTGCCATTCCTGAGGGCCTCCCAGCTGTCATCACCACGTGCCTGGCACTGGGCACCCGCCGCATGGCCAAGAAGAATGCCATCGTGAGAAGCCTGCCCTCGGTGGAGACGCTGGGGTGCACCTCTGTCATCTGCTCCGACAAAACCGGCACCCTCACCACCAACCAGATGTCTGTCTGCCGGGTGAGCACAGGGCATTTTGGGGAGCACGGAATCACAGAATAGCTTAGGGTGGAGGGTACCTTACAGGCCATCTAATTCCAGCCCCTCCGTGGGCTGGTTGCCAACCACCAAATCAGGCTGCCCAGGGCCCATCCTGCTTGACCTTGAATGCCTCCAGGGATGGGGTACCTACAATTTCTCTTGGCAGCCTGTACCAGTGCCTCACTGCCTTCTGAGTTAAGAATGTCTGTACTGGGATGCTGGAGCTCTGTCATGGTGTGATGGAGCTTGATGACTCCACCAATCTGTTGCAATACTCAAACTTGTTTTGTCCTCACGCAAACATTGCATTTTGCTCATTAGGAATTTCAAGGTGAGCATGTAAGACAACAATGTAGGAAGGCCTGAGCTTCCTTCTAGCCCAGCAGGATGTGAGGATTTTTATGACTTATCTTGGTGCAATCATAAATAGAAATCTCACCTTTTCATTAGCTTTTCTGAATTTCTAGCACTGAGGTGCAGATCTGTGGACTTGTTTCAGGGCTCCTTCTCCGTGGAGCGTCTCTTCTGAATGGGTTCAGTATTAATACAGCTTCTGGAGAAGCCAATGTGGTCAACACCTCTTCTGCTCTCTTGCCCATTTTCCTTCTGTTTTAACCAAACCGGTGAGAAATTCCAGATCACACAAAATTAGAAAACTGGGATCTGTGAGCCCAAAGTTGGAGGGTCAGTGTAAGGTTTGGGACCAGCTGTTCATGGTGGTTTGTTAGGAAAGACTGGGCCATCCCAGTGCTTCTCAGTTTCCCCATTATTCCTCAGGAAAGCTTTTTTTCATGATTTTGGCGCGTCAGTTTTATAGGAGAACCATGGAAAATATGTCACCAAAGGGAAACATGGCCCTGGCCACTCTCCCTGCTCTCTGAAAATTGGGTAGTGAAGCAGCAACCGGCCACAGGCTTTGGTTTGCTCAGCACAAGCCACAAATGACTGGAAACGTCTGATGTTTCTGCCCCGTAAATGATTTACAAGGAGGCCCTGCTGGATCAAGGGGCTGACAGAGCTGTCCGTGTTTGACATGAGGGGGAGGTTCCCATCGGCCCGAAGCAAATGATGTATGAATAAATAGCATATATTAAAAATAAATAATGATGGACAAGCCCAGCATCTGAGCACAGAAACAGTTGTTAACGTTTAACCCATTCCTGTGGCCAGGGTGCACAGCAGGACACAGGTGTGTAGATCCCACGTGTTTCTACGTGCTCAGAGCCTGAGCTGGCCGAGTCTCCATGTGCCAGACATCAGGCCTGGGTCTGCTGGAGATGACGGCACCGTGGTGAAGCAGTCAAGCCACAAACCCACTCAGTATATCAGATGAAAGCTGTGGTTTGCACTGCTCACCTTATGGGTGGCTTGGGCTCTCTGACATCTAAATCATTTTGTATCTTTCTAAGATCAGATCTCCCACTTAGTGGCTGAAGCAATGTGGTTTTTCCAGGTTTTAGTGAGGCTTTTGATGCCATCCCCTCACAGCTTCATTTTAGACAGTCTGCTCAGCTGTGACATGAACAGCTTCACACTGCTACTACCAGGGAGGTTTGGGCTAGAAATTAAGAAAAACTTCTTTATCAAGAGGGTGGATGGTGGAAATGGTTTCCTAGTGAGGCAGCTGATGCCCTATGCATTTGGATGGTGCTCTAAACTTTGTTTTAACTTTGGGTCTGCCCCAAAATTGTCAACAGTTGGACTCAGTGACCTCTGTAGAGTCTCTTGCAACTGGGACTCGTTCTATATTCTACTCTTGTTCTGCTCTACTCTTGTTCTATGTCATTCTACTCATCACAAAGATCTTACAGCATCCTGTTATGCACTGTAACTCAGTTGTTGAGCAGAGATGCTGCATGAGTTTGGGCCTGCTGCTGTGCCGTGATTCAGCAGCTGTGTCTCTGTAGAGCAACCAACCCCAGTCAGTTATCTCTTGATGCCTGGCATGCTCAGGGTTTCCCAGCATCGTGGCTGTGCCGTGCTGGCTTTTGGTGGGTGCTGTCACTTGGGGCCACCTCTGGCGTTGGAGGAAAATGACGCTGCTGCGTGGGCTGGCTGATGGGTGAATGACGCTGATTACAACCTTCTGCTACCCCAGACAGCTTGCCTTTTGATGAGTGCTTTTTTCTTTAAAAAAGAGATCACAGAAAATAGATATAAATGGACACCTATTGCTTGCACTGTGCCCCTTTTCTGCCAGAAACATCACCCCAAAAGCCTGCAAATACCCTTGTGATGTCTGGTCGTGCAAGCTAGGAGCAGGCAGGAAATCTGACGTAACCTCTGTTTGCTGTGAGTTCCACCTATTTTAAATTGGCATGGAAAAATAGAGGGCATGGAATGATTTATGTATTTTTTTTCTTTTTCTAGTAAGAAAGTTGCTTTTGTGGAAGTGCTGATTGTTTCGTAGTTGTGTTTGAAAACAAAAGATCTCGTATCGTGCAAAAACACCAGTGGTGGGGGTGGATGTTTGCAGGATTTTTAATAAATATGAGGCCAGCCTGCATTTCTGAGTATGGAAAGCTGCTTTCTGAAGGGGTCAGGAGGTGTTGGCTCAGTTGTAGGCCAAAGGCATTGGACTTCTTGAAAAGACACAAAGGATGCTCCCCCTTCAGGAATCCCTTTTGGTGCTGTCTCAGACCAGGTGCTGCATTGCTGAAGCCTCTCATTTAGGAAATTTTAGCCACGTTTTCCTCTGTTTCAAGTGTCTGATTCAGTTGCCCCAAGGAGATGTGATCTTTGGGCTCTTTATCGAGCTCTGTTACGTGTTAGCGAGTGACTAATCCATGTCTCTTCTGCCACTTTTTGCCATGCACTTTCCTTCAAATTCCCTCAGGGATGCTCAGGGAACAGAGATGGGTGAAATAATGCAGATGCTGTCCCCAGGAGAATGGGCTGATGCTCAGTCGTGGGGCAAATGTGACAGCAACCAACATCCTAAATGCAGCTGTGCCTTAATGATGGGTCGTGGGAAAGTTTTAATTAATTAAATCTTCGGGAAATGAAGGGTAATTGTCTCTGCATCACATTTCCAAACCACCAAGCAGGACTGTGGAGTGAGGAAAGCATTGCTGCCTCTTGGCTGGGAACATGCATTCCATCCAACCAATGTTATTTGTTAATTATATTGCTTTTTGGCTCCAGCATGGATCATAAATAACAATTAGGCAGGCAGGAGCATTGCTATGCCCTTGTCCTGGCCAGGTCAGGAGCTGACGGTGATGCTGATGGGCTAGGGGACTGTGCCAAGAGGAGCCGAGGGGAGGTGGAAAGAGGAGGATTTTTATTGCATGTTAATTCCTTTTGGTCTCGTTGCTCTCACTGTAATGGCAAGAATGGGCCTGGAAGGTGTTTGAAAGGCAAAAATTGCTCCAAATTAGAGCATGTGGGACTTTTACAACTCTCTGGGGCTTAATTAACCAAGCTGTAACCTGGGGAACGCGCAGTGCAAGCTGGTGGCTGGGAGCCGTCTGGGAAAGGGGGCATGGGGTCCTGTGGCTGGTCGGATCCTGTCCCTCCTGCTGGGCAGCAGAACCCCAGCCCTGCTCCAAGGACAATACCAACAGCTGCTTAGAAACTGCCCAGGCACCGCTCCTCTGCAATGGAAGAAAAGGAGCTGGAGGAGGCACATGTGGAAGCTGGGAGTGGTGCATGCCAGAAAATCGCTGCCTAACTCTCCGTGTCCATCTGTCCCCTTGCAGATGTTCATCATGGAGAAGGTGGAGGGTACCCAGTGCAGCCTGCATGAGTTCAGCATCACCGGCTCCACCTACGCCCCCGAGGGACAGATGTGAGTACGGTCCCTGTGCTGCAGGGTGCAGCTGGTGGCTGCACAGGGAGACCCAGTTTCACCCCTGTAGCTGTGGACAAATTGGGACTTTGGGTATCAGTTTGTGGCTGCATTGAGTATTGCACATGGAGGGGAGCAAATGCTTCTTTTCTCTTCCCATCGTGTGTCACTGCAGGGAGATGTTCCCTGACTTGTCCTTGCCACGGTCCCCTTTGCTCATCCATGCAGTGACTGCACTTCATGGCAGCTTCAGAGTTAATTTCATGAATATTTATAAAGCCAATTTGATCTTTCACTAAGAGTCTCCATTAAAATGTGAGATAGGTCATAAGCTGGCATTAGTGGGTGCTTTTCAGCTCAGTAAGGACTGATGGGCTGTGCTTGTCTGCTCCCTCCTGAGGCTGCAGTCTCCCTTTCTCAGGTTCATTTGCAGCACCCAGCCAGCAGTGTTTCTACCTATGCCTTTCCCAGCACGGTCCCTTCCCAGCTCTGTTCAGGGCATCACACACTGCAAAAGCCATCCCCAGTATTTCTGCCTTCTCAAACACCAAAACGCAGCCTGAAGTGCTTTCATCCCTGTGCAAACAGATTTTTCAGATTTTCTTGGCCGCTCCCTGCTTTCCGCTCCTGAGCTGTAACAAGGGCTCCAAAATGTTCTTTCCATTGGGAAGCTGCAGTGGAATAAACTGATCCTAATAAATGCCTGACAAATTATTTTTCCAGCAAGCGGGTGAGTGGCTGAGTTTGCACAGCTCTAACCTGCAGTTACCTCTCCTGGGGTCTGGATCAGTTTTGTTTCATCCCAAAATATGCCTGGCCATTTCCAGCATGGGGCAGTGGGTGGCTGGGGAGAGGAACCTGGTCCTGCAGCTCCTCTGGACATTGAGCACGTGGAGACCCTGGGGTGCCTTTGCCCCTTTTGTGGGGCAAAAGTTCTCTGCCCCTTTTCTTTCATCACCTTCATAAACACCGTTGGAGGTGTTCGATAAAAGGGTGGAGTGGCACTGAGGCTCATGATTTAGTGTTACAGCGGGGATGGGTTGATGGTTAGACTGGGTGATCTTACTGACCGTTTCCAACCTCATTGATTCTATATCCAGCTGTTCACAGCCCCTGCTTTGATGACCCAAGGGGAGCAGAAGGCCTATAGAACACCATTTCCAGTTATCGTGGTTTCTCTGCTGCCATTTTTATTCTGGAGCACTTCAGGAGCTCATTTGCACCATGTGTTATTTCATCTGCACGCTGCCCTGCCCCATTTCTTAAAGCATAAAATGACCCCAAGCTTTTATCACCGCTCCATGAGCCTGAACCAGGCTCTTTCCCCCTCTTTGCATCAAATTTCCCAAGGGCTACATGGGGAAAAGCTAAGCTCTATTTCTCGTGTAGCCGTGTGAAGGGCCAGACTCCAAACAGTTGTTTCCCTCCCACAGCCTGAAGGACGAGCAGCCGGTGCAGTGTGGGCAGTACGATGGGCTGGTGGAGCTGGCTACTATCTGTGCTCTCTGCAACGACTCCTCACTGGACTACAATGAGGTATGTGGGGACGGGTTGCTGCAGGCTCCCAATGGGCTTTTCCTTTCCCTTTGGGCCTTCCTGGGGGCAAAATCAGTGGATATTTGCCTGTTTTATCCCCTCTGGGAAAAGGGTTTCTGTACTTTTCTGTACCTTTCTGTACCTTGAATGCAGCCTGTCTCTAGTAGGGATGTTGTGCTGCGTGTGATATGTGGTCCATTGGGTTTAACCCATGGCTTCATCCAGTCCCACCGTGTGGAACATCCTGGGTTAGAGATGCATTGAGGGGATGTGCTCCAACGCTTGAGCTCTGTTATTTCCTGCTTTCCAGTCAAAAAAAGTCTACGAGAAGGTAGGGGAAGCCACTGAAACTGCCCTGACGTGCTTGGTGGAAAAGATGAACGTCTTCGACACGGACACCAGCAAGCTCTCTAAGGTGGAGCGAGCCAACGCCTGCAATTCAGTGAGTGAAAGGGATGAGAAGGGCTTGGGGGTGGTGATAAAGGTGCTGGTGTGGCACAAGGATGCAATTTCTTAGTTCATAAGGGGCTGAACCTTAGAATATCTTCAGGTCTGTGCTGACCGCAGGAGCCCTGAACCATCCTCTTGCAGCGTGCATCAAACCCACCTCCCAGCACTGCAGTTCCTGCTTGACCCAGGCTATCTCATGGAAACACCTCTGTTTCTGGTGTATGAATCTCCAGCACTGACTGCTCTACTGCTGTGGCTCTGCCGTGTCTCCCTCTCCTGGTTAAAATGCACTTCGTCTCCCATCTGGATTTGGTGTCGTGCCATTAGATTTTTCATATTCAACACCGTCCTAGCAACAAAAAATAATAATTGCAAAATACTTTGGTCATGCAGTGAACAAGGTGGACAGCATCCCTGCTTCCCTCAATGGAAAATAATTCAAATTGGCCTTGGCTGCCCTGCAGATGTCTTTTCTGGGACAAGATACATCCTCCCAGGAGCTTGCTCAGCTGCTGTGATGCTGATATGGGGACACAAGAGGGTGACAAGGACCAGCTGCTGTCTTTTTGTGCATTTTGCTCCTGCAATTATTAACAGCAGTGCTGTCTCACAGGTGATCAAACATCTGATGAGGAAGGAGTGCACCCTTGAGTTCTCCCGCGATCGCAAGTCCATGTCGGTGTACTGCACGCCCACTGGCCCCGGTCACAACTCTGCTGGCAGCAAGATGTTTGTCAAGGTATGGTGAGGACTTGGTGCTTAATGGTGCAGTGATGCTTTTGGGTTTGTCTCCTGCCTTGGATTGTGCTGAGCATCCTGGTGTTGGGAACACAGGATCTTCCTGTGCCCCAAATTCAGGCTCTACATATTATGCCTGGACACCACGGCCAATAGCAATGCCTAAATGGTTTGGCTTTCCACTGTAAACAGAAATAAAATAGTATTTATAGGGTATTTTCTTCCCAAGAGAAAGAAGTGAAGGAGATGCTGCAGGAATTTCTCCACTGACTCTGAGAGGAATTTTGTCCCCGTGTTCCCACCCACAGAGCTTCTGGGTGAACTCTGTCCTCCAGGTCGAGTAGAGGCCACCCAGAGCTGCCATCCTTGCAAGCTATTTTCAGAGAAGCAATAGAGGGATCGCAAATGTCAAATTAAAGGGGAAGATCAGGGTCATAAAGGGACGGGGTGAGAAGCTACAATGCTCAAGGCCATGTGTTCCTAAATCACAAAGGCATTGTGAACATCCTACAGGTAGCAGCACATTTTTTTTTTGTAGGACCCCCCTTTCCCTTTGGGGGACAGTGGGGTGGGAGCCCCTCAGGCAGGCAGGAATGAGGCAGATCCCCGTGGAGCAGATTCCATGCCCACCTACCTGAGACCGCTTCATCCTTCCCAGCCACAGTCTCTCGTGTCAAGGCTGCCACCTAGTGCGCTGTGCTGCCAGGATGTGCTCGTGCTCACATTTTGGGAAGATTCCCTTCTCCTCCTCCCAGACTTTGTGCTGTCACTTCCTCTGGCTCAGTGCTAGCAGGAGATGCTCAGTCTCCAGGTTCATATTCCCATAGCATACATCCCTCACTCATTGCTCCTGAGCTCATGCACAGAGGATGTTGCACTGCATGCAGCCAGATTTGTCTCTTGTGCACCAAAGATCTTTGTGCTGGGGTGATGAGGGCAGCAGACCAGGAATGACCCCCAGAAAGCAGCTCCTCACCTCCCGCTACTTTCCAGGGTGCCCCAGAGAGTGTGATCGAGCGCTGCACCCATGTCCGTGTGGGCACAGCCAAGGTTCCACTGACCACACCTGTGAAGGAGAAGATCCTGAGCCGGATCCGGGACTGGGGCATGGGCATCGACACGCTGCGCTGCCTGGCATTGGCCACCCATGATGCACCCGTCCACAGGGAGACCATGCAGTTGCACGACTCCACCACCTTTGCCCATTATGAGGTACTACAGCTTTTCTCTTTATTTCTCAAGTTTCCAGCTGCCCCAGTGGTATTTCTCCCTTGATTTCTCTGGGTGGTGCAATAGCTCTGTTCATTCTCTCCAATTCCCATAGCAGAGCTGCATGCAATGAGGCTGACCCCAAAGCCAAGGGCTATGTCCCACTGGTGTCCATCCCCAAAGCCAAGGACTCTGTCCCACTGGTGTCCATCCCCAAAACCAAGGGCTCTGTCCCACTGGTGTCCATCCCCAAAACCAAGGGCTCTGTCCCACTGGTGTCCATCTCCAAAACCAACGGCTCTGTCCTTCTGGTGTCCTACCCTAAAGACAAGGACCCAATCCCATTGGTGTACATCCTCATGGGGTGATTGCCAAGACCGGGACCTCCAGGAGGGATGTGGTGGATGTGAGTGAAGTAGAGATGTGTGAGGAGCACTGGAGGAGATGGGAACATCCCTTTGTACCGAGGTTGTGGGGAGCCAGTGATGGCTCCCCTGAACCACTAATGGGAAAAATCATAAAAGTTTTCTCCCCAAGTGCCCTGGAATTGCTATGCCCACAGTGGTCACACGATAGGGAGGATGTGATTGTATTCTTGGGGTCAACGTGGTCTATGCTGTCCCCTCAGACCAATCTGACCTTTGTGGGCTGCGTGGGGATGCTGGACCCTCCCCGCAAGGAGGTCACTTCCTCCATTGAGATGTGCCGCAAGGCCGGCATCCGCGTCATCATGATCACGGGCGACAACAAAGGCACGGCGGTGGCCATCTGCCGCCGCATCGGCATCTTCACGGAGAGCGAGGATGTGGCTGGCAAGGCCTACACGGGCCGGGAGTTCGATGAGCTGTCCCCAGAGGCACAGCGGCAGGCGTGTCGCGAGGCTCGCTGCTTCGCCCGCGTTGAGCCGGCGCACAAGTCCCGCATCGTTGAGTACCTGCAGTCCTTCAATGAGATCACCGCCATGGTGAGTCCCCGGCCTCCTCCTCCCTGCCCGGACCCTGCCCTCACAACGCTTTAATCATGACTTCGTGCAGACGGGCGACGGCGTCAACGATGCCCCAGCCCTGAAGAAAGCCGAGATTGGCATCGCCATGGGGTCCGGCACGGCTGTTGCCAAGTCAGCTGCTGAGATGGTGCTCTCTGACGACAACTTCTCCACCATTGTGTCCGCCGTGGAGGAGGGCAGGGCCATCTACAACAACATGAAGCAGTTCATCCGCTATCTCATCTCCTCCAACGTTGGGGAGGTTGTGTGGTGAGAACCGTGTTGTGGGCAGCAGCTGTGGGGTATCTTGGTACTGATATTTGTTACCAGCTCGTGTCACAGAATCGTAGAATGGTTGGGTTGGAAGGGATCTTAAAAGATGATCCAGTTCTAACCCACTGTTGTGGGCTGGTTGTCCCCCACCAGATCAGGCTGCCCATCCAACCTGGCCATGGGCATCTCCAGGGATGGGACACCCACACTTTCCTGGGCAGCTGTGCCAGGGTCTCAGCACCCTCTGAGTAAATAATTTCCTCCTAATGTCTGATCTAAACCTGTTTTCTTTTAATTTAAAGCCATTCCCATCTTAGACCATGTAAAAAGTCATTTCCCTAAACTGAGTTTGGCGCACTAGAACCCAGTGTTCCTGCTCACTTTTCCCTTTCACGACACAGACACTTTCTAACTCAACACCTCTGGCTTTTCCCCCTGCAGCATCTTCCTGACAGCCATTCTGGGCCTGCCCGAAGCCCTCATCCCAGTGCAGCTGCTGTGGGTGAACCTGGTGACGGATGGGCTGCCAGCCACCGCGCTGGGATTCAACCCCCCTGATCTGGACATCATGGACAAGCTGCCGCGCAACCCCAAGGAGCCTCTTATCAGTGGATGGCTCTTCTTCCGTTACCTGGCCATTGGAGGTGAGCCCCTGTGGTCTGGCACAAAGCTGGGCAGGGGGACCATGGCCGGGCTCCAGCTAAGGAGTCTTTCTTGGTCACAGTGTACGTGGGGCTGGCCACGGTGGGCGCAGCAACCTGGTGGTTCTTGTATGACACTGAGGGACCGCAGGTCTCCTTCCATCAGTTGGTGAGTTGAGGTCTTCCCCTCCCCCTTTTTGTTTGTGGTTGTGATGGTCACATGTTCCTGATGGGAAAGACATATTTACTGGTGGGTTCCTGTGCTGGCAGAGGAACTTCATGCGATGCACCGAAGACAACCCCATCTTTGAAGGAGTTGACTGTGAAATCTTCGAGTCTCGATACCCGACCACGATGGCTCTGTCTGTGCTGGTGACAATTGAAATGTGCAATGCCCTGAACAGGTGGGTGGCTGCAGGATTGCTCCACATGACCCATGTCTTGTAGGGTCTCTTTAGGCAACTCTTAGTGGGCTGAGGGCTTTGCTTTACCCAGCAGACCCACTCCAGTTGGGTGTCCAGATCCACATCATGGCAAAGCGTGAAGATGAACGGTCTGGAAGTGAAGGAGCTTGGGCACATGTGGGGACCAGGAGGCTTTTGGCATTCACGATGTCCCCTTGCTTTCCCAGTGTCTCTGAGAACCAATCATTGCTGCGAATGCCCCCATGGCTCAACATCTGGCTGCTGGGGGCCATCGTCATGTCCATGGCTCTGCATTTCTTCATCCTCTACGTCAAGCCCATGCCTGTGAGTACCCTGTACCACCTCCACCTGCAGCTTGGGGGCCTCTCATGTGACTCTGGGGTACCATTTGTGTTTGGAGGTTCTGGGACAAATGTCCCCAAGTCCTGGGGCTCAAACTACTGTGGGATCAGGAGTCACCCTGCTGCAGGCAAGCATTTACCTAAGTCAGACACTGTCCTTATAGACAGCACAAAGCTGTGTGGCTGCCTCCAGGAAGTGATGCAGATCTTTTGGTGACATCATCTCCCTTTGTGGTACAAGACTGGGGATGTTTCAGTTGATACCTAAGGGTGTGTGACATAAAGTGTCTTGCTGTGCCCAGGAGGTGACACTGTCCCTCATTATGCCACTGAGTGTGTGCATACAGTGCTAGGGCTCAAGTTGGGTATTAGGAAAAACTTCTCTGGAAGAATGGTTGGGCACTGGCACAGGGAGTGGTGGTGTCACTACCCCCAAAGATGTTCAAGAACCACAGAGATGTGGCACTGAGGGATGTGGTCAGTGGGCAGTAGTGGTGGTGGGTGAACAGTTGGACTAGATGAGATCAGAGGCCTTTTCCAGCCTTAATGATTCTATGATTCTAGCTTGTGCTTCACTTTTTCTACTGAGGGAGAAGTGAGGTGCATCGCTTTTGATTCTTCTTGGAATGATGATAATCCTGGAAGAAATCCTGCCCTTTGAGCTGTTTGAATCTTTCCTCCTTGTACTTTGGACAGTGTTTTCTCAATCTGTATCCTGCAACAGAAGCTAATCTCTGAAATCTCTGCAATAAAAAGAAATCCCATCTCCTTCCCAATTAACATATCAAACCCTTTTCTGCCTTGCAGCTCATCTTCCAAGTGACCCCGCTGAGCTGGCCGCAGTGGGTGGTTGTCCTGAAGATCTCCCTGCCCGTCATCCTACTCGATGAAGGACTCAAGTACCTTTCCCGTAACCACCTGGAGGGTGAGAATGGGCAGCACAGTGCTGGGCTGTGGGCCCCGTGGTGCTGTGCTCGGGTTGGTGATGGCTTGGGGCCATTCACATGGTGTCTGCACTGCATGTCCATCCACCTCTGCTTTCTCAGCTATGAAAAAGGGACATTTTCTCCTACCCCTTCCTCCCCAGCTGCCACGCCAGGCAGAGTTGTTGATACTCAGTCTGCTGGAGATGCTCACTGCAGGCAGGAACAACAGATAAATCTGCCACATGTGTTTATCCAGCTCCTCTCCAACCTCTGGGAACTGGATTCCTTCCTTTAAAGCAAAAGGAATCAAAGATTGCTTTCCAACAGAAGTCCCTTTGATTTTTGCACCCCTCTGTGACTCTCCCCGTCTCATGTTTGCACCTCTGTTTTAAGACCTAGTAGGAGCTGTGCCTTACAAACTAGTTTTACATTGGCTGAACTCTACTCAGGGAGCCTGTTTACAGCAGGTCTGTGTTTCCCACGCGCTGTAAATCATGACGTGTGTTTAGACAGCCCTCTGAGTGGGTGATATCATCGTTTTCTTTCATTTCTTGAAAAAGACACTGCTGTGGGTGATATCTCAGTACTGAGTTAAACCTTCAGGGCCAGTTCTTGCATTTCAGAGCTAAAGGGAGGTGTGGCCAGGGGAAGGTTCGGGGCATCATGGTGGCCCAGTTTGGTTTCATCCAGTGCAGTGTGAATGCAAAAAACCTGGAAATCTTGGATTGGAAATTATTGCAGGCAGAAATATCTGCAACTTGCAACCACCACCATCATTGGGTCCCAGGGTGCTTCCACCAGCTTCCCTGACCACCAAGAGGTGGAGGTGCTCATGTTTTTGCAGACCAGTTGGAAGTTGCTCCTGGTGTAATGCTATTTAATTGTTGCATCTCTTGTTGGACTGCTGGATGCCTTGCATCACCCCAGCACATCTCATCACATAGCAGCAATCTTCAGGCACAGCCACTGGGCTGGGATGTAGGAGAGCTGGTTGGGTTCTTGGCTCCCATGCATGGCCTTGGTCTTCGCTTCACCATCTGTGCTCTGGGGATGAGTGTTTCTGTCTCCCACACTTTGTGTTTTGCTATAACAACCCAGCTCCAACTGAGGTTTCTGGAGGCGGTTTCTGGAAAGGGATGATCCTCTTTCAGTCTAACATGAGCTTGGAGCTTTCCCTGCTTCTGGTCCCCAGTGCCATGTCCCTCAAGTGCTGGATCCCCTGAGCCCCCCAGTCACGGTGCTGTGCATGCCCACCATTCACTCTGTTTTATCCAGTAAGGGATTCTGATGCAGCTACTCAATCACAGCAAAATCACGCTTCAGTCATCACATTTAAAAGAAATCATTAAAATCCTGCATCATCCTAATTCCTCTGGAGTTTGGCAAACAGCAACAATAACAGCAAAAAGCCACTTATAAATGTGGTGTTGTGATTTTTTATTTTTTTTTTGCCAGGAATTCTCAGGACAGTAAGAAACACGTGGAGCGGGGAGCACCAATTGAAAACCCGCAGGACTCCAGAGAAAGGGTGGGCATCCCCACGTGTCTCATCCCCACGTGGCCGTGCTTCTTCTGAAGCCTTGTTGAGTGCTGTGGGGACTTACCCACACTGCATCCCAGCAAATTTGGCTAGGCAGGGCTTGGGGTTGGTCTGGAGCATGGGACCTGCAGCAGAGAGGCCAAAATCTAAGGGATGGCCAAGGGCACTGGGTTGATGGCTGCCAATGTTTAGCTGTGAGTTTTGCTGATTCAGGTTTTGCATGGAAATGTTTCTCCGTTGATCAGATTGAGATAAATGGTGTTTCCATTACGCTGAGTTTTCCTCATCCCTGAGGCTGCAGAAAGCTGAGACTGGGGATTTTCACCCTGATCTCAGTATTCTGCGTTCCTCTCCCCACCCCACCGCTCTGTCAGGCGTACACTGAGTTTTCTGCTGTCTCCATTCTGGTTAAAAGCGTGAGTGGGAGCTGGCTTGGCATGAAATGATCTGCACATGTCCAGGCCAGGGGGTTGGAGGTGTTCTGCAGGGTCTCCTGGTCCTTCCCCATGTTCACACTGGGTCACTGCAGGGGCTGACTGCCCTCAAGGATCTCTTCTACTAATATTACTTGCTGTCCTCTGTGCATTTTAGTATGCTGCATTTTGCAAACCCCTGGGTGTGCAGAAGGTCAATTTCCAGGCATTTGTGCTCAGATCTTGCAGAAGATCTGTGGATTTCAAAAGGCACAAAACCCAGACATGGGTCCAAACCCCAAAGCAAACCCATCTCAAGGGTCAGTGTTGCTACTGCAGGGTCCTCAGCTTGTCCAAGGCATTGAGCAGCATCTTCACCAGGGCATTAGGGCTTCGCCATTCCCCATCCCAGCCTGAGTCAGAGCCCTCCCTCATCTGCAGGGACCAAAATCCTTGTGCTCGCTCACTGTAAATAAACAACATCCCCATCACATACCCACCTCTGTGGATGAGGGGGAGGGAGGATGTGCCTTTCTCTGGGGCTCTCAGCAGGGGATGTGTGACTGCCAGAAGCCCTGTACCGCAGCAGCTCACTGGGATCAGTGCTGGGCTGTGTCTCTGCTACATCGTCACCCTTTGTGGGAGTGCATTACAACTAAAGCCAAACACAAGGAGGCAGACCCCAAGCTGAGCTGTGTGTTTGGATACAGAATTACAGGAGTTTAAGGGCACTGTGAGTCCAGGTCCTACTGAACCTATGGCGTGTGCTGGGATTTTGCATTTTCAAGAGCTTCAGCTGGGATTTATGGGCACAAGGCTGCAGTTAAATGCTTGCTGTCAGTGTACAACTGAGTCCCCATCCTGTTCCTATCCCTGCACCCACCTCTTGCACAGCTTCAGTGCAGAGCAGCTGGGGAAGGCTGCGCCTGATACAGAGCCACTCACTGCATGGAGTGCCCATGCAGTGCCAGGTGGATAGCAGTGAGGTTTAGCATCAGGTGGCTGAGGGATGCTGCTGCAGTAACAGCTCATTTCATCTTGGTATATAAAGGGTCTTGCAAGCATTGCTAGAAGGAAATTTTGGCAGAAGATGGGAAAAAGTTGGATTGTTTGCTATTTTTTTTCCTCCTTTCTGTTCTGTTGTTTGGTCCTTTCCATGGAAGAGGGCACTGTCCTCAGGCTGAGGCAGGACATGTGTTTGCAGCTGGGCTGTGACCATTCCAAAATCAGTTTTCTCCCATGGTTTTTGCAATGCGTTCAGTGACTGGAGCCAGCCTGCTGCCATGCCTCTGTTTCCCAAGCAGGAAAATGGACTGAGCCTCACATTGCTGTGCTTGCTGGCACCTGTAGAGCCCAGGCTGAGAGTTATAGAATGGTAGAGTTGGAAGAGACCTCAAAGATCATCCTCTTCCAACCCCCTGCCATAGGCTGGCTGCCCACACCAGCTCAGGCTGCCCAGGGCCCCATCCATGGCCTTGAGCACCTCTAGGATGAGGTACCCACACGTCTCTGGGCAGCAGTGCCAGGGCCTCACCAACCTCTGAGTAAAGAATTTGCCCATAGCATCTAACCTACATCTCCCTCTTCTAGTTTGAGGAGCGCTGTAGAAGTGCCATGGGTCACTTGGTCCTTGTGCTGGAAGTTGCACGCGGATATCAAGACACAGCATGAGCAGCTCCCAAACCCCTGCCAATGTTTTTTCTTCTTGTTTTCTTTTCTTTCAGGAGAAGAGGACAAGAAATGAATGACACGAAGGAGACGCTCCAGGCTAAAGGACCCCAAACGTGTAACTCGGACTGAGGGTTTGCATGCGTGCCCACCGTGAGCAGCCAGCAGGACATGCATGTGTCCCACTACCAGACAAATGCGGGTGAATCGTCGAAAAGAAAAAACCCTGATTTTGTTTTGTTTTGTTTCGTCGCTTTCCTTTTCCTGTACATAACAGTGCAATCGCTGGCCAGCTGGCGGAGGGCTTTGGGGATGGAGCTACAGGGCCACGGTGTGGTCGGAACGTGGTTCCTTGGGGATTTGTTCCTGCAGCATTGGAGGCCCTCTCACAAAGCTTTGTCCCAGCACAGTGAGCTGAGTCAGGGCAGGGAGCCATGGGGAGGTTGGGGTTTGAGGCATAAGATGGGGTCTGTGGGGTGCGGTGGTGCTGGGGACAGCATCAGGGTGAGGTGTCCTGGAGGACCGCTGGTGCCATGGTTGTGTGTGTGTGTGCAGCAGAAGCTGGAGGTCTCCCTATGCTGCTGTCCTCTGGCCCTTCGCCTTCTCAGGTTCATTCCACACCAAATCGTGGCGTGGTTTTGTCCATTCCCCTCTATCTGATGTCTTGTGAGCTCCTACCTGCACTGCTCAAGGTGCAGCCATCTCCTCTGGAGGTATTTGAAGCCAAGCGTGGGGACGAACAAGGCATCCTCGTGTCCCCACTTGCTCCTGGTCACGCTTCCTCTGCTCAGTTATTTTCAATTATTTCCCTGCCAGGAGCTGTGCATAGAGCATAAGTCCTTAGGGGAACTGTGTGTTCGTGTCTTCTGCTGTGGGGAGCCCCACTGTCTTGCGCAGCACGTCCCTGACACCCACCATCAGGGAATGAATATATGCTTGTACAGAAGGTCCCCCAGCAGCGCCCCTTGGTGGGACACCAGCTTGGTTGTTTCCTCCAGGAGGATGGTGCAGGCTGCAGTGGGAGGTGGTGGATCAGGGCAGTTTTGGGATTCAGTCCATGGAGCTGCAGGGTGGGTCATCCATCCCAGCTCCCCACATGCTCCCTCCTGTTTTCCTTCTTTCTCCCCACGATCCATCCTGGTGATGCTTAGCTACCCTCTACCTTTGCTTTCTCCTAAGTCCCAGCCTGGAGGACCCAACAGCACTAGAGCCAGGCTTTGTGATAGCATCTTGCTCTTTCACTTTTTTGCCTCTTAAAAGCTTCCAGTGCTTTTCTTGTTCCTCTCTCCCACGGGCAGGATCACACCTTGCCCTGGGCACTATGAGCAGAAGCCATCCTTCTTTCTTTTCTCCATCACCAGCATTGACAAAGATGAGCAGAGCCCCCAGACCAATGGGAATGTACAGAATTGTTATACTACTGAGCTGATCTAATTGTACAGAAAACCTTGCATGAGATGTTGTTACTGTATTTAATATATAATGTATTCAAGGAATTTTAATATGGAGCTCTATAGGAAGATCTTTATAGTTACTCTGTGGTTAGAAGAAGGTTGTTGCTGATTTTTTAAAAATTATTATTATACTTTGTCTTGAAGAAGTTTTATTTTTCAAACATTATGTCTGAGTTCATTGGTGTTCCATGGGGACAACCAATTCCTCTTAAAGGGCAATTTTCCCCACAGATGAGACTCAGCCTGGTGCAGAGGAACAGGACATGCCCCAGGTACTGCTTCCACCTTCCACAGGGCTTCCATAGGGCTGCAGGTGTGGGTTTGCCCTTCACAAAAAGGGTGGATTTCTCCGTGGTTTGGTACAGATCATCCCCAGTTCTCTGTGCAGGGTGATACCCAGCAGGAATTTCATCCAGCACCCAATGTCAGCACAGCATTTTATCCAGCACCAGCTCAGGGACTTCTGAGGAGATGTTCTTCTGTTTCTCTGGGGCTGGAAGATAATTTGGGAGAGATCAGAGCTGATTCAGAGCATCCCAGCCCATCAGTAGGGTCTGGTGAGGTTTTCAGCTTCCCTGTGCCTCTTCCTGGGACGTGTTAGTCCAACTGTCTGTCCCACCAAAGAGGACCTGCTCAGTACAGCTGCTCACCCTGAGCCTAATGGCTGCTGTGGGATTGCTCATTTGACCCAAGATGTGTGTGTGTGCAAAGGTCCCAGTAATGAGCACGGAGTGATGGGTGGGAATCTCTAATATGTATGGAGAATTAAAAGAAAAAAAATCTCAGAGAGATGAAATCATGGCACTTTAACTCTTTATTAAATTCCTGCTGGACCAGATGGCCTTTAAAGATCCCTTCCCATTTAAATGGTTCTATATAATTCTATGATTCTGTGATTTATGCTTGGTCTCCTATGATGCCAGAGAGCTTGGGGTGGTGGTAGCAGACATCCTCTGTGCCCACCAGCAGAAGGCTGTTGGAAGAGATGGCGTTTGGGTCATTTTATTGTTAACGTGATGCCAGGTTTCTTTCCCATTGACCTACACCATGCCACCATGGGCAGTGCTGTGCCATTGTGTTGCCATTTGGCTGCACTGTGAGTTACCAAATATGAGCCATTGTGGGCAAGAATTCAGAACAGAGCCCCATCCAAAGGTTTGTTCTTCTGGCAGCAGCCAACTGCGTTTACCTTCTCCTTGTGAACTTCCAGACCCATCTCAGAAGTAAGTGATGAGTGCAGGAAACTCGGAGCAGGCATCCCATTTCCCCTTCTCACCGGTTGAACCACATCTCTCTTTTTCCCCTTGTCATTTAATTTCTCACCCCCTCTGGTTGGGTTTCACTCCGTTCCAGAGGCTTTATAGATATTTTAGTGAAGTAGGAGAATATCCACAGACCAGATGCTTTTTCCTTTGTGCTTGGATGAGGATGAATGGCAGAACAGGGTTTTATTGTGTGCTGCTGTTTGTGCAAATGAGAGGTCCCAGAACCAAGAGCATCGCAGTGGGATTTGCTGTGGTTTTGGTCCACACCCAGCATGACTCTGTCTCTTAGCCCAGATGCCAAAGGTGCACCCAGCCCTGGTCCTGCCCTCTCGGTGCCATTCAGCTTTGGGTAGGTGTGGGGCATGAAGTGAGCCTAAATCTGCATGGAGTGGCAGTGACAGGGGCTCAGGTTGGGCACGTGAGACCCAATGGAGGATGAGCACTGAGGCCATAGCATGCCTTCAGCCTGGGGATGTGCTTGTGGATTGATTCGGGATGCCCACACCAAATCCAGAATCTGAATTTGTGCTTCATAGCAAGAGATAAATCACTATATCTGGGGCGGGGGGAGGGTGTTACTCGAGGGGTAGAACTGAAAGAAATGAGGTTTCCTATTTTATTATATGAGAGATATTTTTCCACTCACTTATCGCTTCTGATGTCGCGTCCCAGTGCCCGCGGTGCAGCCACCAGGCTTGTCGCCGTCACATGCACGCCGACCACTCTGTTCACACAATATTGGGCTGATTTGTTTTATACTTAGGAAATTACAGAAATAAAAGCAATTTTACTGGAAAACTCTGGATTTTCTGTGTTTTTTGTGCTTTTTTTTTTTTTTTTTTTTTTTTTTTTTTGCCATTCTCCCCTGCCCTTGCCCGCCTGTGCAGGTTTGGGGTGCAGCTGGGAGCTCGTGGAGCTGCACGTAGTGTCTGAGGGCATTCTTCAGCCCTAAAAGGAGCTGTGCTCACCAGATTGGGATTTCTTGTGGGTTCTCAGGGCAGCCAAACTAGAAATGGAGCTGAGCTTGTCTCTGGCATCAGACGACAAAAGGCGAAGTGAAAGAAGTGTCACGATCCAACTTGGGAATTTTTAAAGTACCAGCTAATTTGCAACACAAATAACAGTGCTAATTTTGACTGCATCCAGAATAGTCCTCACCTTAACTCCCCCCGGCTGAGTAGGTTTGGATAAGCCTTGCAATGATCTCTGAAAGAAATAATTAATAAAGAAGGAATAATGAAAGCATTTGGCCTCTGCTAGGGAGTGGAACAGAACAGCTGGAGATGGAAACTCATGGCCCCAGATCACCCAAAGCTCTTCTCATGGTCATGTTTTGCATGGAAAATCCTGCCCCATTGTGCTTTGGACCAAATCAGAGTTCACAGTGAGTCCCTCCATGTGTTTCTGCTGTGATGGGGCCCCATGTGTCCCTTCCCGATGCAACAAGGTGGAGAAAGGAGCTGCAAAGCTGGTGGTGTCCTAAGGAAGGGCTAAGAGAGAGCCATGGAGCAGCCATGAAGGGTTTTGGAAGAGGAGAGTGGTTGGCATCATCCTGCCCAACGCACTGAATGCAGCCTGCCATAGTGCCACCTCCATGCCAGCTGGACATCAAACCAACCCAACACAGCTGCTCCTGGGAACACAGTGAGCACAAAATTCCCCCAACCCCTTTTTTATCACTGTGCCTTTCACCAGTGAAGCAGTGTGTGCCATTAGAACCCGACACCGAGAGCGTGTGCTAATCCTACAGTAACCAAAGGAGCCTCTGTACCCCATGGGAAGCCTTTGGCATAGGATGGATGCACCAAACCCATCAGTGCCCTCAGCATCCTGGTGTCACTCGCTTGTCTTGCAGCTGCCAAGCCCGCAACCAGGGATGCGAGTTGCCGTGGCAACCCAGGATGCAAACATCTCTGCCAAGCACTGAACACCACCAAAAACATCCGTCTGTCTGTCTGCACTGGGGCGTTGTGTAGAGCAGAGCCAGCGCTGCTGGGAAGGAACGAAGGGAGGTCAAGGACAAGTTAAAATTGGAAAGAAAGCTGAACATGCCGTTTCGTAGCCCTCGCTTGTACGTATCTGCCAGTTTTAGGTTTTTCTTTCCCTGCCCTTCCTATGGGTAGTGGAAGCATCTCCTCCAGCCAGCGGGAGCACAGGGCTCAGGACAACCAAAATTGCTGGTAGCGGCCACTCAGGGGCTCTGCCTGGTGACCTCAGCCAGCGCAGGTCTCCCTTGCACCCCGCTGTCATATTTCTGCCCCACTTGTCACTGTGTTTCGTTCCCTCCAGCCCCCAGATTTGCAGCGTGCTGCACATTTTTTGTGCTGAAATTCAGAGCTCCGTGCTGGAAGCTGCCAAGCATGAGTCTGGATTGTGTAATGAACTTCATCTATTATTATTTCCAGCACCCCCCACTAGAATATTTTGGAAAAGCAATGCCTGAGAGCCTGGAAAGCCTGGGTAGTGCCAACCCCAGCTTTGCTTTTTGGGATGAGGGTATGTGTGGTGGCTTTCAAACCCACTCTTTGAACGCTTTGGTGGTCCAGGTTTCACTGTGAAGTGAGGATTCCCTCGCATTCCCAGATGTCCCTGTTAAGAATACTATATATATATATATTTTTTTTTCTCTGGATAGCCCTAAGTAGAGGCTGTGCAATGAGCAGGGCAGGAGGAGCAGTGCAGCCAGCATGCTCTTGGGTTGGTCCCAGCCCTTGGAGCTGATAGGAACAGTGGATGCAAGTGAGCCTGGTGCTGGGGGCTTGGCAGCGCCAGGCAGGGAGGGTAGCCCTAAGCCGGCATTTAGGCAACACTGTCCTAAGTGCTAACATTGGGGTGTTAATGCTTTGTTTGCCATTATGTGCTTTTTTATCTCCCGGAATGGAGCTGATGACTCACTGTCCTCACTCTGCCCAGCTTTATGCTCTGTCCCCATTGTTTTTTTTTTTTATTATCTTTTTGTTAGCCCTTGCAGTTACATGTTCACCAGAGAACTTTAAGAGGGAAGCCCTAGTCCGGCACAGGGATCCCAGCACCTGCACAGCAGCATGGCTCCAGGAACCCAGTGAAGTTCTGCAGGCAACTACAGCCCAGGGGCAGGTACGTCCCATACAAACACCATTTAATTCATGGGCTCACGCACAGTGCTTTCCTACGTCCACCATCTGGCAAGCTGCAAGGTTATCTCCGGGGAGAAGCATCACTGCAAACAGTGCTGATGGCACGCAGATATGCCAACCAGCTGGCACTGCTCAGTGCCACATCACATTGTTATGGGAACAGGTAGCTTGGCAGTGCCATCACACTCCCTGCCATAAAGTCATTTAACAAGCATTCAGCCCAGGGAGATGTGAGCCCAGAGATGTGGGCCAGGTGCAGTAGGCGAGCTTTGGCTGCTGATCGGCCAACGGTTGGGTGCTGCAGGCATGGTGCTGGATGCTGCATGCCCACTGCAATGTGGCTCCAAGGGACATCATGCCGGGTGGTGCCCATTATCTCCCGATGGAAACTATTTTGCTAAATCCATGTTATAACCATTTTATTGACTCCGAGTACCAAGGAGAAGGTTGGATGTGACTCTTTTACAAGTCATTTTGCTGTTAAATTTAGCTGTCCTATTTTCATTATCCCCATGGCTTTGGCAGGGGTGAAGCGCCTTCCCTAAAAGGCCTCGTTTCATACAGTAAGTTATTTGCTGCTCTCCTGACAGATATCTCAGCTTATAAGGTTTGCCTGCTCCGCTCGATAGCGGTATCGGCCTTCAATCTTATGTGATTAGCATCAGCTCTTTGCATTGCTTTTGGCTCTTTGTGTGGCTGCTTTCATGTCTCTTGGGGTCAGGATGTAGTCATGCCACCGAGCATCTGATCCTGGGCCCCGGGCTTTGTGGCTATGGGTTTCTCCCATGCTCCCCATTTCCTGCGGCGTGCTTGGATTTGTTCTGCTCGCTTTGTGTTTGTGGGGTGGCAGCATGCTGAGCCAACAGGAGCGCAATGCCAAGCAAAGGGCAATCGGTGAGGCTAACAGGAATGTTCTGGAAGATTCAACCCATCAGGAGAAACTTCTCTGTGTTTTCAAAAGCGGTTCCCCAACACAGAGGAAGAGCAGAGCCACGTTCTTATCTTGGTGCCCCTCAGCTCTGTCCAGGAGCTGCTCCCTGTACTGGCAGGAGTGCAGCAGGGAGTACTGGCATTGCTGGGAGCTTTGGAGACACCCCAAAACCTTCCCCAGCTACTCCTCAGCAAAGCAAGCCCCACCGCAGGGAACAGCTGATAGGATGCAGTGCAGGTATGGGTTCCTGCAGCCAGCACTTCTGTGCTTTGTCCATTGCAGAAGTGTCAGGCCCTGAATTTCAGCCCAGTACGTGGGATCCAGCCCCTGCCCATGATGGCCCCCGCCTGCATCATCCCTGCCTGCATCCCGCCAGCCCCGCTCCCAGCCGAACCTCTCAGGAAATGCTGGAGATGCCTCGCAGTGCTCGACTCAGCCCATGCAAGTGCTGGGTTGCAGCCAATTCCCAGTGGGGCAGCTGAGCTGTGGAAGGAAGCCAGGCTGGGGTCCTGTGGCTGAGTGCCCAGTGCTGGGTTGGGGCTCCTGTGCGCCCATCTAGCATGGTGACATGGGGTCAGAGGTGGCCTTAGGGACATCGAGTGGGATACAGGTTAGGGAAAAGAGTGGGAGACCCACAGTCCAAATCCACCTCAGGGACCATCGGCACCAAACTCTGGGGTGCCTCTGATCCTGCTGTCCCCGAGCCCTCCCAGTCCCAGGGAGGGCTTCAGCACCCGTCCCACCCCCACACCATGTAGGGCACTGCTGCACCCAGCCCAGCACTTATAGGAAGAGGAAAACCCGTCTCTGTGCAGAGGAGGAAGCCTGACAGCCCGGCTGAGCACAGAGCACCACCAATAGCATTTTTTTTATCCTTATCATTCTATTTATTTTTACTTTAATCCCTCTGCAAACAGAGGAGTGACGGCAGGCACAGCCCAAGCCGCGTGGCGGCGGCAAGCATTGGGGCCAGCGGCACAGCCCCGGCGTGGCCATGGGGCAGCGATGCATGGACAAGCTGTCCTCATTCCTCTTCGAGTATGACACCCCCCGCATGGTGCTGGTGCGGAACAAGAAGGTGGGACTGACCTTCCGGCTGATCCAGCTCATCGTCCTGGCGTACATCATAGGGTGAGCTTGCTTTCCTAAATGAAAAATAGGAATGGAGAGAGGAAGGAGGTTCCCATCACTCCCATATCCCAACATGGGGGGGTATACGGTGACGGCATCGCATTCCCATGTCGTCGTCACTCCGTGCTGTGGGGCTGCTCCCCACATCCTTCCCATCCCAGCGGTGCAGAGCCACGAGCCCTGCCCAGCCTCAGCGCCTGCTGAGCTGCCCTCTGCTCTGCTCCGGCTGCTGGCTGCCGGCCTGAGAATCTGTTGTTATTTTTATTTTCTTTCGTATGAAATGAGAAGCAGCTGGGGCCAGCGCGGTGATTTGTGAGCCCCAAGTGGCTGCAGACAGGACCATAAATTTCCCTGTGCCCTCCCTGGCTGCTGGAGGCCACACTCCAGGGCCCTGTTTTCCTTTGCTTGTAGGAGGCAGCCCCAAGAGCAGCTTAAAAACAGGGCACAGAAGAGGCAGGTGGGCTGGAATTATGTGGGGACACACATTCTCAGGTACCCCAGGCCTGGTAAGGCTGGTCAGGGCTGCCTCCAACCATCAGGATCCTTCCTGCAATGGGGATTTGCCAGCACAAGGCGCAACGTTACGGGACACAAGAGTTGGGAATGATGCAGGAATCACC